ATCAAATTCCTTTATTAAGGAGGAAATGCATATTAGACTACTAATGAGATTTGTTATATGTAATGCTATTTCAATATAGGGAAAAAGTAAAACACATCAGAATCCTTTATTCGCTTGCCAAATAAAAGACTGAACAACTATAAATCAAAGTATTACCAGTGTGTATATTTTAGCAGAAGGATTCCAGATTTTTTAGTCTTTTTTATTTGTACTTTTTTTGGATTCTAGTTTTCTCCAGTGAAATATACTACTCTAGTAATTAGGCAAATTACATTTTTAAACTCAAGTGCACAGGCATTTCATTGCTTTTGCATCTGTAAGAGTGAACATTTGAAAAAATAATCCATACATTCATAGAAAGCTGGTTAAATAAATGATAGCACACTCATACAGTGTGACATTATGAAAGCTTAAAAATTAAATATTTGTAAATTGCCGTCTTAGTTGCTTTTTACTCATTGCTGAGACAAAATACCTGAAGCCCAAGTTGGGAAAGGAAAGGTTTATTTCTTACAGTTTTTGGAGGTTTTAGTCTACATTCAGTTGGCTCCAAGGCATGCGGGCATGGCAGGGCCGCAGTTCACGGCTGTTGCAAACAGCAAGCAGGATCTGGCAAAAGAGACCTGAGACACACCTTCTTCCTGCCATTACATCACATCCTGGCTCCATCCCTATGTGGGTGGAGCACTGACACCATCAATCCAAGCACTAGACAATGAACCATCACAAATGCACAATGCAAACTCATGAGGCCTGGGGGCTACAGACATAAATCATGACAGTTGTAGATGTCAAAAACTTTCAGGTTATATGAAGTGAGGAAAAGGAAGTTCCAGAACACTTTAATGCCATTTCTTCTCTTAAAGTATGAAGAGATTTCAACAAGGCATGGATATCCTTACAAGCGTTGGAGGAAGTATGTAAGAAAAAATACACGCCCATTTATTAACCATTTTCTTGGAGAAATTGTGGAGGGAAAGGAGTGTGTTTGATTATTTAAAAATCAATGTTTGTTATTTTAAATCCTTTTACAATGAGAATATATTTATTACTAATGTAAAGATATTAAAAATAAACAAAAAAATTCAAAGTAGTCCAATAAAAGGGGCAATGATCTTTAAGGCTCCAGACTTCTGGCTTTGAGATCGTAAGTTCTTTCTTAGTGAATTATGCTATGTTGTCCTCCTCAGCTTCAGAACTGTTCTATTGAATAATTGCTTTGATACATGAATATCAGTGAGAAAAGACATCAGAGAGCCTAGTGAAGTAGAATGGATATTAGCAGATCAGAAGATGGATTGAATTTTAAAAGCTTGAACACTATAAGCAAAACTTTCAGTAAAAGTTATAACTATAAGAACAGCATATGAGTATTTGCTTTAGCTCTTGAATGTCAAAAATTCTATTGTATATCTTCAAGGATTTTACAGATCTTTGTAGGCTTGCCTACTTTCCTAGGTAGTGGCAGATGATATTTTTGGAGAACAACACATGTCCCTATTGTCTTTCTGCCATCAGAAAGCCCATGGTTACCTCTTAGAAACAGCTACAATCTTAATGTACATGGTATGAAAACAAAGACTTATAACAAGTGAATATATGACCATGGGTCTCAAAACATTTTTTTCTCCCATATGGCTTAAATATGTTTGAGATGCTGAAGAGCGCAAGATAACATTTTATGCACAAAATCTACTTTTCCAGGGGAAAAAACCTTTCAACTAAAAACACTGAGATTTTAGGATTTCCATAAAATCACCTCCTTGTTAACTTTTTGGTTTTTCAATTATTTATATTTGTTTTGCCTTTAAAGGTGACAAAGTAAAATCAGGCAGTGTCTACTCCTAATTCTGTACATTTTGGGGCAGGCATATTTGTACTTCTACTTTGCATGATTTGCTTAATTAAAAATATGTAAAATTGCCTTCAAATTCTTTCCCACATTCTAATTCCCAAGATCTAAGCCTCAAGTATTTCTCCATGCACTTGTAACCTGCAGAGAAATAAAAAAGACATTTTGTACCTTCCCTCTATGATAACTGACAGTGTGAGAATGTGAAAGGTGATTGTGTTTGTTTGTTTGTTTTTTCTGGCCCACTGAAGAACTAGATACACAAATTAATGAATATATTGCAAAGTGCTTGGGCAGTCATTACATTTATGAGCAATGAAGTGTATATTATTATAACTTATGCAGGGTTTGTAGATCTTACTTTTCTGTAATATTTGGGACTAGAAATATTTGGAATTTAGTTGTTTTCTTGTTTTGTGTTTTTTTTTTAAACTTTGGCATGTTTACATTATATAATGAGACATTTAGGGAATGTGATCAAATCTAAACACAAGATTTATTTCTTTTTTTATTTTAATGATAATAAAATCCAACAAAACAAAACAAGTCAATGAAAACAAAGCAGAAAAATTAGTACAGAACTTCAAAGCAGGATACTAGGAATGCAATAGTTATTATAGTGTATCTTATTGTCTTCCAAATAGTTGTCCATTCCATCAGGTATAGCAAAATCAAACCAATAAAAAAAGAATAAAACCAATCAGAACAGAATATTGAATAAAGCCAAAACAGTTAATGAAAACAAAGCAAATTAGTAAAAACAATATTGGATTTCAAAAACAAGATAGAAGGAAATGCCCCATATTTGTTATATTGCATACTATCCTCCCAATATATGCCCAGATTGCTGGCTCCAGGTCTGCAAAATCAACCAAGCAATAAGAGCCTCTATTTGCTTGTTTTTCCTTAGTTGTTATCAACTCAGCCTGTCCTCAGAACTAGTGGGTTGTTTATGCGGAGAGGATGGAGTTTGATTGTCAGTAGGCTCACGGGAGTTGCTGTCTGACTTTTCTCTTCCTGGAACTTGCATGGCCTGCGCAGCAGCTTACCAGAAAGGCTGGTTAGTTGTCTTTTTGGTCGGTTCCTCCCAGTCCCAGCATGGCTGGTTCTTGGGAGATACTGACTCGTTGATCTTGTTTCTATTCTATATATCCATTTATATACAAAGATAATATTATCCAACATTTTTAGTGTGCCTTTGTTTTAACTGTGACCCTTCCTATGATGTCTGCTGTGAGATTTTCCACTTATGGTACTGTGTAAGCATTCAGAAATTTCAGATTTTGGATCGTTTTGGGTTTTGCATTTGGGATGCTCAGTATGTAAGTATTCTAATGGATATTATCTAGGAGCTTGGGGAATTTTAGTAACTACTAACATGGCTTGCCTTTAGATTAATAATGGGAATGAAAAATTCACAATTTGGAATAGGACCACCAGCCACATGGGTGCTTTTCTCTCAGGGGGCCTGCTGTTCTTACATTAACCTCCTTGGAGAAATTGCTAAGAGTTGTCCTCTACGATCTACCCTCAACACATGCCTGCACTGTCCATCCTCAATACCACCATTTGGATCTACTGTGTTTATTTTCTGATCCCGGAGCACTGATGACCATCACTTCCTGGAACACAGTAAGCAGAGATGCAGGCTAGAGTTCATTATGTTTGCCATCAATATGTGCCAGGTTGTTCTGTTTTGAGATGTTCATGACAAGATGAAGATAGGCTTTGATTGTTAAGGGGTGAGGGAGGTCCAGGGTTTAGGAGGAAATTGGCTATCCTGAATCATCTGAAAGTGCTGGCCTTTATGGAAAGGAGGCAATGGGGGTGGGCCTGACCCATCCTAAGGCCTCTGAATCTGTTGGAAGGCCAGTAGTAGACCCAGAAAGCTCTGCTGTGTGTCTTACTGACTGTGACGTGGAGATTTTAGAAACTTCCATGTGATACCCATCACTATACATCTTCTTTTGAAAGTGTTCTGGCTCCTTGGATCTGGTAGATAGTGAAAATCTTTGTGGTATGCCTGCAGGATATGAGCCTGTGTCACCAGAGTGATAGTGGCCATTAGAGTCTCACTGTGGAGTGATGCTGACCCTAAACAATGGCTGCTAGGTCCCCTGGGTATGTTGTGAGCAGGATGCATTAAGGGGGCTCTATTCTAGTCTTTTATATCTAAAGTGAAGAACTGCCTGTGTATTTCAAAGGAGAGGGATGTTTCATGTTTGAATGAAATAAAAATCTTTAAATTAAAAAATTAAAAATCCTTAATTCATTTTGGTAAAATTTGCTTCTCAACTTTTTGGAAAAGTACTTTTGTGCAACTTTTTACTCACTGAAAATTATCTCCATCTTATGTTTTCTAAAGAATAGCTCTATGAATATTTTTATAGGTTGCAAAACAAACTTAGGGGACCAATTAATGGCAGCACTCAGGAAACAGCAAGCAATGCCATGGAATTGCATCCTGTGTCTTTGTGAGGATGGTGTGCTTGAGTTGCTAAACCAAGCTGCACAATCATCCTTCTAAGCCCTTGTCTATGCTGGCTGTTTTCCTTTTTGCCCCAAGTTGATTTTGGATGTTTTTGGATAATTACCATTTTCACAAGTTTGGACAAAGAGGGAAGCTGTTTTCTTAGCTCCAAGTCATAACACCAAATATGTAATTGCAAAGAGTTGCAGTTCTCCATTTCTCCTTGAGGATATAGGTATTGAAAAGAGAATTGGCTCATACTAACCGGTCTTACCCATCTGATATATATTTGCTAATACAATACGAATAGTAAACTAGATTGAGTACGTTGTTGCAACAATGTGGTCATAGAATTTTGATTTATTTCACAGGCCCTTTTGCTATTTCATTACTTTCTTCATTCAGAACTACTTTTTATTTGTAAGGAAGAAAATGTTGTATGTATGTTGTAGCTAAATGACATCACTATATCAGTCATTTTCTATTTAGTTTTACTTTTGACTTTCATAAAAGCCGACCTTTACTCAATTAGAATCATTTAAATTTGTTTTGTTTCTTACAACGGCATAACACTCAGGCCTACTTGTTTCCAGTCTGGTTACTTATATAGTGCAGCCAGTTAGGCTGTGGTTCAGCCTAATACTTGGATGGTGATCCCCAATCAAAGTTTAATTTCATTAAGTATATTTCTAAAGGTTTATAATTTGAGTAATGTTCTTTTAGTAGACTGGTTTTCCACAGTATGTCTGGAAAATGAAGACAGTGTGGAAAACAAAGACAAAAAAAAAGCAGTAGGGAAAAGGGATGATCTTTAGATGTGTTCACCGCATTCCCTCCAGTCCTGTTTTTAGCATTTGACTACATAATCTGCTCTTGTCTAGATAAATTACTGAGTCCCACAGATCATCATTCTTTCCACTCATCTCAAAACCATAAATCACCATCTCCAAAGTATGTTTTGATTTATGTGGTGCTTTGTAAAGAATACACCCAAGGCTGAAAGTGAATTACATATCAGAGACAAAGACTACAAATATTTTGTTGATGGATGTTCCTCAAGCTCAATTGTGTATGTTCATGCTTCTGCTATATGCAGTTTTGTCCCTTTTGTCTAAAATATACCTTGATTTCCTGGTTATTCTTCAAAAATCCTTTGAGATTCAAATCTAGCATCATAACTTCTAAAAGGTAGTTTTTGATTTTACCCCATAGTTACATGATTTTTAGTATTTCCTGTGACCTAAAAAATGTACTATTTTGAAATTATTATCCTTCCTATCACTAAATCATTATTTAATTCTCACATTATGAGGTATATATTAACACAAGTTAACCAAGGAGGAAGCTGCAGTTAGAGGAGATGAAATATCTTCTTAAGACTACACAGTTAATATGTGTTACCAGTTAGATGAGACCAGATTAGAGCCCATGTTGTATAGTCTATGGTCTAAGATGGTAGAGCATTGTTTCCAAAGAGTGATGGATGATCCTCTGCTGCTTGGTTGGATGACTCTTGATGGTACATGGACATCTTCACATGAATAATTTTCTGTTTACTCATTTGCTATGACGCACACAGAGAATAAGGAAGCAAGCCAGTTTTCAGCATTTTATAAAATTTGTTTCATTCTTTATTTTGAAGGAAGTGATAAAACATTACAAATATAGTTGAAGATCACCTTGTGTCCTGTCCAGATCTCATTCCCCTGTGACCTTCCTCAGTGGCAGGTATTATCCTAAATATTGTATTATTTGTTTTTCTACAGTTTATTTGCTTTGAAATACTAAGAACTGAACCCAGAATCTTTCCTTTGGGCTACAACTCTGGCCCTTTATTTTTTATTAATTTTTAAAAAATTATTAGTGCATATTTGTAGTACATGTTGACATTCCTTGTGAGGAGTTGGCACATGTACATAATACATCTTAATTCTCTTTTTATGCTTTGTCCTTTCTCCCCATCCTCTTTAACCATCCCTTGATTTCATTTTCTTAAATTTTTTTTTGGTACACCCAGCTGTTTTTTTATTTTGAACCAGATCTCACTAAGTCACTCAATTGCCCAGGCTGAGATCCAGCTTGGGATCCTCCTGCCCTAGTCTTTCAGATTGCTGTAGTTATAGGCATGTACCACCACACCTGGCTCATATACAAATATCTAGACTCTTATTAAATGCATATTTATCCAAATTTGGAAAATTTTCAAATGTTGTTTGTTTCTAATATATTCCAGATATCTTAATTTCTAATATTCCAGATATATTGGTCACTAATTTAACTTCATCTTTTCAGAGAATATACTTATTTATGATTTCTGTTCTTTTAAATTTGCTAACGTTTGTTTAATAGCTCAAAACATGGCCTATCTTGGCAATTGTTCACGTGGTTATATTTTATGTGCACTTAAAAGAATGTGCTTTCTGCTGTTGTTGGGTGGCGTGTTCTATAAATTTAAATTACATCCATTTGGTTATTGATGCTCTTTAAGTTCTTTACTTGGTTTGCTGGTTTTCTGTTTACTACTTCAATTATTGAGAGAGGAATTCTTCAATTACATTCTGAATTGTCTATTTCTCTTTTTTAGTTTTATTAATATTTGTGTGTATTTTACAGCTGTATTGTAAGATATGTGCCGGATTATGTAGGATTATCATGTACAGTTAATTATATCTTCTTTGGGAATTGGATCATTTATTATTTTGTAAAACTTCTTTTTATTCCTAGTAATGTTCCATATTCTGCAGTCTAGTTTATCTGATAATATAATTCATTAATTCAAATGTATTTTTATTAATGATAGTGGAGTATGTTTTCCCTTTATTTTATCTTTTATTGTCTATTGAATTAAAAGTAAATCTCTTGTGAATAAAGATACTACGTTTTCTCTCAGTTTGGGAAGAAATTCTCTCAAAATTTTATATTAATTAGCATGGAACAGGTTGAAATATTAAACAGGAAAAGCTAAAATTAGTAGAATTTTATTACATATCATTCCATGAGATTTCTATATTTATGGAAAAGTGGCTGCTGTTTCTTGAGCTTATTCAAGGAACCAGAATGATGCCCATTTTATGATTGTTTTATTTATGTCTTCCAAAGTCTCTCTTTGCAGGTCTATATCCTCCGTTGGATAAAAGAAAATGGCTAATTGTATACTGTGAGAGACCTAAAATTGCTAATTAATACTTCTAATATTCTTCTGGTTGTTACCCCATTGCAAGACTGATCAGCTAACTACATGCACAAAATGAAGAGGAGAAAGATTTGTTGAGGTAACTAGGCATCTGTCCCATAGGATTTGTCAATATGCATGATTGTTACAGTGTTTTGGTTGACTTTTAGACACAAATTAAGACTATTTACTTATATTCCTTATTCCATGACAGGAATCATGTTGGATTTGACTAGACAGAATTCAAATTTTTATAAAAAGCAATCATATATATTTTCCTGTAGCATACTAATATAATACTTTATGAGTTCTGAAACATTCTTTTATCATTAGGGAAAAGTAGAGTGTATTGTATTACAGCACATTTTTATGTCTATTCAGATCAATGCTCTTGAATTCTGTTTAGTATATTTTGCATTCATGTTCACTGTAGAATTTGTTCTCATACACCATGTATTTCTTGTACGGTAATTGCCTGGATTTGGTATGAAGTTTTATATATATGTCTCAGTGCCTGAGTTGGGAAGTTTTCTCTTTCTACTTTTTAAACAGTTTGTGTAAATAATATTTATTACTTCCTAATAATTTCAGTAAAATGTGCCAGTAAATGTTTAAAGGAATGGCTATTTTGAGCCTGGTAAGCAGAAGAGACTTAACTTTTAAATGTTTATCAATTTACCATAATATTTCATTTCTTCTTTATCAGTTTTGGTTAGAAACTACTTTCATTTTATCTTTTTTAAAGAGAAGAAAAAATAGAAATAAAACAAAACAGTTTCAAATCAGTCTAATAAAAATTAATATGTTGCACACTGTTGTCTTCATAATAGTTACTCAGGGTACAAGATACAGGCATGAAACAATGTCCAAACAACATTAGCACAAATCTTTCTTTTCAGTGATCAGAGAGAAACTAGCTGTATAACTATCTTAACTATCTTGTGTATATATATTTTCCTTTTCTTTTTACTTCATAATTAATAATTTAAATTTAATATAATAGTTGATATGTTTTAATATGTTTTTTGTTTTATCAAATATGTAACATTTTTATACACGTGTCTCAATTTAGGTATTTTGTTAAGCTTTGTATGATCTCCTGTGCTCCTCTTTTCCACTCATTGATATGCTTCTGAGCTCTATTCAAGGCAAAGTGAGAAAGTCTAATGAACTGCTTCTAACTGCTGCATGAATACTACACCATGGTTTGTATCCACCACCTGCTTTTTAAATGATGATCCTTCTGGCTGTCTTCATCTTCCTGCTGCCATGAACTGTTCCAAAGCGATTTTTTTCATCTGTGTCTTGTTTATATTCATGAGAATCTTTGATTTATATTCTCCCAAGTGAAACCACCGAGCTATACCTATAATTTGCCTAAGCAGTTGTCAGTTGTTCTCTGTAGTGGCTGCAAGACAATCTACTTTTCTTCTAACATATGCTTTGTTCTCTTGCTAACTATATGCCTCAGTCTGGTATCTGATAGCTTTCTAACATTTTGTCAATAAAATGATATCTATGCTGTCTTAATTTGTAGATATCTGATTATCAGTTATTTTAAAATATCTTTTTGTTTTGGCTAGCTGTTTTTAGTTCATTCTGTAAATTGTCTGTTCATATTCTTTAACCATATTTATTGGATTTGCTACCTTTGTTTTTCTGATTTAGAGAATGCCTTTGTGTAGTCTAGCTAAAAATTCTTGGTTTTTGAACTTTTAAAAAATATTTTCCTCTACTATAATTTTTATTTCATGATTTTTTCAGTTAAAATCAAGCTGTCTTTAGTTGAACAGAACAGATTAATTATGATATTATCAAATTAATCAGTGTTTTCCTTTATGGTTTGGGCTTCTTAAATTTGAAGGGAAGTCTCTCCAACTTAGAGTTGCAAATATATTTTATACTTCTTTTTATTAGCACTGTAGTTTTCCTACTTATATTTATATCTGTAGTTCAAGTAGTCTGTCTGTATGTGGAGTGAAAGAAGGCCCAAATTAGATTTTTCTTCATATAATAAGCTGTTGTTTTTACCAATACCAGGTTCTAAATTATCTCTTTTTCTCTCATTGTGTTTTGCTATTCTGTTTTTATTTGTCTGTTGTTTATCAGGCAATGTCATTTTTTCCTTTACAAATTTAATTTAGTTATTCACAGACATTTGTTTGTCAAAATAAATTTTACATAAATTTGTAAAGTTTCTTTAGAAATCCAACTAAAAATTCTATTGATATTGCATTAAACAGATAAAACTGGGGAAACCTGGGAACCTTATAATAGGTGGTGCTATCCAAGAGTATGGACAGTTTCTCTGTTTTTTGAGTAATATTTATTCTTCTATGTCTTTTTGTAATTTTTACCTATCAAGGCATTCACTACTTTCATCTTTGTATTATTTGTAATTTTTCAGTATTGTGACTAGTATCACAGTTGATTTGCCTTTTCTCATAGGTTATTACTTCTATAAAGTAATTAAAATTATTTTTATAAATCAATACTTTATGAAGTCCTGTAATACTCCCACTATCTTGTTTTGACTGACTAGACTCTGTTCCATTCTGTATGATAGTATCAAGTTTGAGGGTATAGGCAACTACTTTGACGGCAATAAAATTCACTAAGATGCCCATTCTGGTTTGACTATTGTCTCCTTTGGAAGTCCTGTAATGTTTACAATGCCTAAGTTTTATTGGTCTTGTTCTCTACTGTTTTGTTCAACTTTATAATACCTGATGAGATAGACAATTCTTTTTAAGGAAGCAAGAGGCATTATGGTAACCATTGTTGATAACCTTGTACTCTGTTTTACATCATGTGCTATGTCTATCCTTGGTTTTGACTGACAGCTTTGTTTTGCCATATTTGACTTTATTCACTTCCAAAAAAAGTAATAAGAACTAAGGAGTAATAAAACCCAAAATGTATAAATTTTGTTGTAAAAAAGAGAGGGAAATAAAGTGCTCTAAAGGATACCAGTGCAAATGTGTTTAGGGATGTTAAATAGCTGACCATATTAATGTTTTTGGTTGGATCATTGAACACAACTGTTTGCAGTCTCAGTGTTTGAATGTCCACTTTGTATGCTTTGATCCTGAGACTTGAGCAGCTATCTCTAAGATGATAATGTGTAATCTATTAACTGGTGATTTATTACTGTTTTTTTTGTAGTTCTGTATTACTTGTACCATTACACTGCTTTGTTTTTTCTCTTTTCCCCTTTTAACTAAAATTTAAAAAAATACTTTATCTGAAAGCCATGCTAATCTTTTTATTAATTCTAATATTGTACTTTTTATGTTATATGTGTTGCTGTTGTCTTTTAGGCAGGTTTCTATTTTTACAAGTAATTATAGTTTTCTCTTTCTAATACTTATGTTTTTAATCAGTTCATTTTTTTATTTATAGCATTGGTGAGAGCAGACCGTACTATGTTCAAATGCAGCAATAATAGACGGTAATTATTATCTTGTTTCTATCTTACAGAAAATGAGTTTAAATTTTCTTCATTAGTTATAATACTCACTTTTTCCCCAGAATATATATTATAGAAATCATGAAGGTATTGGAATATGCCTCAGTAGTACAGCTCTTGTTCAGCATGTGTGAGGCCCCAGGCTCTATCCCCAGCACCAAAACAAATCAATAAACAACAGCAGCAAAGACCAACTGAGGAATTTTACATTTAGAATGCTGAAAAGTTTCCCCTTCTTCTTTTTTTCCTTCCTTCCTTCCTTCTAGGGAAGCTAGAATGGTTACCATCTACTTATTGTGCAGTTATTTTCCAGGAAATATTCTATTCATTTTACATGTATTCACATCATCAGCCATGCTTTAATAAATACTATTATTATTTCCACTTTACCCACGAAGCAAAAGAACTTTAAAAGGTTAGATTTTAATATAATATCCAAAAAATAATAGAGAACTGACACTCAGATCTTGGTCAGGTTGACTTCAAAGGCAAATTTTAATAAAATGCAAACATCATGGGTACTGCTAAGTACTATTTATCTAAAGCTTCCCATCACTGAAGAAGCTCTAACTGCCTTCACATTTATCAGAGGAATGGCATTAAATCACCTTTTCAGTTACATTTTCTCACACTGGCAGAATTTAACTCTTAAAAGAAATTTACATTTGTTCATTTTATGTTGCTATAATAAATTACCTTAAGCTGGGTACTTATACAGAAAAAGAAGTTTACGTAGTTTACAGTGCTGAAAGTCTGTGGCTGAACTCATGTCTTTTCTTTCAATAAGAATAAAGGTATTTTTATGTTAATATTACTCAAAAACAAATGATTGTACAAGGTAATTCTTCATGAAATAAAAGCTAACAGTTCATGCTGAATGAAGAATATTTAATAGATTATTTTTCTAAGTATTAAAAATTTTGCTATCAAAAATAGCTTAACTATTTGCCATTTTAAAAAAAACTACAAAATAAAAATCTTTCTTTAACATGGGGAGAAAAACATATCCCTAGTAAAAATCTTTAATACACAATCAATATATAAGAATTTCATCAAAACAAAAAGTGATATTTATCTATAAAAGTTGTTTTCTTAACTTTTTCATCAAAAATTAATACACAGTCTGTGAAAATTTTAAACGTTATTGGAAAAAATTCGTGAATTTTTGGATCATCCTTGTTATAAATACTTCCATTTATCCTGACTGCAACCAACTGATTTCTTTTTTGTTACACATATATATCCAAATGCTGCAATTTTACTTAAATGCTTCAATTAAACATAATTTTTCTCCTTTAATCTATAAATGTGGAAAATTATGTTAATATATTTTTTATTTTTAAACTGGATTAGAAAGGTAGGCTATGTCTATATTGAATCATTGGTTAAGGGATTTGCATTTGCTGTCTAACACTTTGTGAAACCATAAAACATTCGTGAAGAAAATAATGCTTCACACAGGTTAATATGGTCAAAGGGCTAGAATGAAGTGAGGTAGGAATAGTTAAGATGTGGATGAGGCCAGATGAACAAAGGAATAATCGTATAGTGAAATGATTAGTAGGAGTCAGGAGAACCAGATTTCTGATCACATTTCTATCACTAAACCTGTGCCACCTCCAGGAAGTCACTTACCTTTTATTGACTTCAGCTACCTCCTTTTTAAAATGAGTGATTTGGCTTGGATCTACAAATTCATTATTTCTTTCAAACATGCAGTTTTATAATTCTAAATGATGCAAAGTCAGATCCCACCCACCCACTATGAGAAAGCAAGACAGAAGGATCTGACAGAAAATTTAAAAGTAAGAATCTACTTGGCTCAGCTACTAATTGAACTTAGTGTACAAGTTGAACTGTCAAAAAGATTTCCAAATGTCACAGCTGGGTGCCACAGAACAGGCAGTGCTCACAGTTAAATGGAAGTGGAACCCTGCAAGATAAGTTCGTTTTGTTGGAAGATCTTAAGTTAAAATTTGGACATTAGAGCTCACCTCCCTGTTATGCGGCCTTGAACCTACCAGTGCACAGGCTGAGAATCAAATACCCCTCTCCCCCCTGGCAAATGGGAGCCAGAAGTCTGAGCATCTCTTGAGAGGTTGACCATATGTAATATAGCAAATAAGGGAGATTTCCATCTAACATCTCTTTGAAGGCAAATATTTTTATCAATGTTTTGCTTTGCTCTGATTAATGGTATTGCTCTATTTAATATTCTGTTTTGGTAACTTTTATAATGTTCTGTATTTAGTTTGATTTTGATATACCTGATTGAAAGAACAACTATTGTAAAGATAATGAAATATACTATGGTACCTATTACTGTCATCCCGGTAACCTGCTGTGAAGTTCTGTACCAATTTCAGTACACTGTCTAAATTGGCTTTGTTCAGTCTCCTTCTGTTGTATTTTTACCTTCAAAATAATAAAAAAAATTTAAAAATTTGGATGTTAGCTCTGTGGACTTTGTAGTTGTGTTATTTAATTCCAGGAGGCACTCTTCATTTTATAGTCTATATGCATAGACTCTCTTCAAACCAGGAATTGTATAGCTGCACAGTCGACACAGTCATTCAGAACATTTTTCATTGTGGATATACACATAGAACTGTACAAAAGACAGTTGGATATGAGTCTGGTACTTGGGAAGGAGGATGTCTGGCAAATACTGGTTTGAAGTTCAATAATTAGTGGTGGATAATATATCCACAATATATCTCTGTGTGGATACACAGAGAGTAAGAAATACATTCTCAGAAAAGAACAAGTTATTCAGCTCTAAAGTAACATATTGTGTCGAGCGCAGGGGTACACATGTGTAATCCGGGTTATACCACAGGCTGATTGCTTGAGCCCAGGAGTTGAAGACTAAAATAGGCAATACAGCAGGATCATTGGATTTCTTCAAAATAAGTATAAATATTACAAATATGTGTTCTATAGTAATTTTCTGTTTCATTACATACATGTTGCACAAAATATATAGTGAATTGTTTATAGCTTAATTATAGATTATTCATTCTTCATTATTCTAAAGTTAACAGAAAATAATGCATCCAAAGAACTTATATTTTGTTAAAGAATGATAAAATAAATTTATTGTCCAACACATGACTTCAAAAGTTTTACTTTTATAGAAAGAGATTAGATTTTAAAAGTTTGCAAAGATTCAGAGGTTCTTACGTTCTTGAGAAAAATGAAGAACTCCTCCTAAACTTAATTCATTCTTTTATTTTCACTATGCACATTGCTACCATGAATCTTAATGGTTGAAGGTCAGTCTGTTTTCAAAGAATTGCTTTTATCTCTGGGGACTGTTTCAAGCAAAGCCTGAGTTACGAGGTATAAAAATGAACTTACTATTGAAAGAATTCCTTGGGTAACTTTTGAGTTAATTCAACTGATCTTGCTAGAAGAATGTGGTATGACTAACTCAACAATGTGAACAGAACACATATATCTGAAGCAATCTTTTCTCCTCTTTCTCCTTTGCTTTCTCTTCCACTTGCTCCTCTTCCTCCTCCTACTATTACTTCTCCTCTTGCTTCTTTTCCTTCTTTCATATTGGTGATCAAACCCAGGGTCTCATGAATGCCGGAAATGTGTTCTACCACTAAGCAGTATCCCGCAGCCCCGAACCTATATTTTCTAATTAGCACTGAAGGTCAAAGTATTTTTTGTGAGTAAATTTTTTATTCATCGCTAAAAATTGAATATTTGTGATCCTTAAACCTCACCTATTGAAATCCTAATTCCCAATGGAATGGTATTACTAGGTGGGACCTTTGGGAGGAGTTAAGTGAGGTGAACTCATTCATTCTCTTTCACCATGTGAAGACCCATTTTGTAAACCAGACAATGTAATCTCACAAAACACTTAATCTGCCGATTCCCTGATCTTGAAGTTCCTAGCCTGTGAGAAATAAGTTTCTGTTGTTTTAAACCATCAAGTCTATGAAACTCTGCTACAGAAAACCAAATAGCATAAGACCTCCCATATATTCATTAGTTCTTTCAATCTTTAGCTATTCAGTTGATGTTGGAACCATGCAAGAATGGTTTGCACTGTCATTGTTTGATTGTCAACATTTTATGCTTTGATTTTGTAACTTGAACAACTATTTCTTTTTTCTTTTTTTACTTAATGAGAAAAAGGAAAAAAACAGAGAAAGGGTACAAGTAATACAAAATTTAAAGAATAAGTAGTAAGAAATCACTAGTTAATAGATTACATGTTCTCCTCTTAGAAATAGTTGTTCAAGTTACAAAATTGAAGCATATAAAGTGGACTTTCAAACAGAGAAAGTGCAAACAGTTTTGTTCGATGATCCAAAAAACACTCAGTAATATGGTTATCTATCTTACTCACTTAAACATATATGCAATTATAACCTTTAGAACACTTTCTTTTCTTTTCTTTTCTTTTCTTTTCTTTTGTACAATGACAATTACACATTTTGGGTTTTATTACTCCCACAGTTCTTATTAGTTTTTTTGAAGAGAGTAAAACCAAATGTGACATATCAGAACAGAGTCAGTCAAATCAAAAGGATGGACATAATAGATAATGTAAAAACAAAATATAAGGTGATCAACAATGGTTATCATACTTGCCTCTTGCTATTTTAAGAAGAATTGGCAGTTATAATAAAATTGAAATAAACAGTAAAGAATAAAACCAAAGCATTGGAGACATTACAGGATTTTGAAAGAAAATAATAGTCAACCGGAATGGGCATCATAATGATTCTTATTGTCTTCACAGTTATGCCTATACTTTCGAACTTGGTACTATCAAGCAAAAAAGAATAGAGGAAAATCAGTCAAAACAAGATGGTGAGGGCAATATAGGATTTCAAATCAAGTTAATAGGAAATCAAAGTAAGTTACTATAATGTATCCTGCTATTATTTTATTTATTTTTTTCCTTAATTAAAAAAATAAAAAGAAAAAAGTAAATAATTAAAAAGGGCAGGGGATTGAGATAAAAGAGGGCATAACAACAGAAAAGCACAGGTCAAATCATAACCACATAAGCAAAATAGTGTTTCACCACAAGATAATCTCGACATAATAGTAGTTACCATAGTGTCTCTTTCCTTGAAATCTTTGAGTATAAATTCGTATACTGTAGCACCAAACATATCAAGACACTATAAAACCATTCAAGAGAATGACATTATTACAGGGTATTTAGAACCAATTGACAGAAAATGAACAATGGTTTCTATATAAACTCCTTGTCTATAAAAGTTTTTGCTTATATTATCATATATAATAAAATCCAATAAGATACAATCTTTTAAGACCAATGGAGACAGAATACACGTTTGATGGGATGTCAAAACAAGATGATACTAAATCAGTATTAGCTATTATGATGTCTTGTTTTCTCCAAAATTGCTGTTCCTACCTTCCAATCTTCTGTGCCTCATTTCTGTTGAGCTCTTTTTCTGTCATTTGTTGTCTGTTTGTCTTCTTCATTTCATTTTCTGCTCCATTCATTGTGGCCTCTCTGCCACTATTTCTGGAATCTTGGTATTTTCCTTTTTTAGACTATCCTGCAGTATTCTCTGTAGAGTTGAATTAGTGGTTGCTAATTCCCCTAGTTCCTCTTTATCCTGGAAACACCTTGTTTTTCCATCAATTTCTAGGGATAGTTGTGCAGGACATATCAATCTTGGCTGGAGGTTATTATCTTTCAAAGCTTGAATTATTTCCCCCCATGCTCTTCGTGATTTGATGGTTTGTGCTGAGAAGTCTGCTGTCATTCTGATGGGTGTTCCTTGTAAGTGATCTGTTTCTTGTCTCTGACGGCTTTTAATATTCTGTTCTTATATTGGATTTCTGGAATTTTGATTATTATATGCCTTGGTGTAGCACTCTTTGGGTTGTAGGTGGCTGGATTCCTGTATGCCTCATATATCTGAGTATCTTTACCATTTGCCAAATTAGGGAAATTCTCTTGGATTATTTTTGTGAATAGCTTTTGTAGTCCATTTGTTTGTGTCCCCATGTCTTGTCTTATGTTCTTAATTCTTGAGTTATAGATCCTCTTATCATCTTCTAGTTTTTGTGTTGTTGCTGTTTGTTTTTTTGTTATTTTTAAGAAGTTTTTCATTTCATGCTCCCATATTACAAATCTGACCTCCAGTTCAGATAATCTGTCCTTAGTTTCTTTCAAGCTGTTATGACAGTTTTTGAGAGTTTTTAGTTTCCTGGTAATCTCTTTGAACCTGCTTTATGTATTCTATGTTTTCTCTATCTTCTCCATCAAACAGTTCTCCCCTTTTTTTCCTGTTCTTCCATTCCACCATCTGTTTTCTCTTGGGTGGTTTTTAGCATTTCTCTAACTATTCCACTTATGTCTTGCTTCAGGTCATTGATAACTTCATTCCTGAACTCGTCTATGAGGCTCTAGAGATAGCACTTTATGTCTATTGGTGCCATGTCTGCTATTGTGTGTTTCTCAGGATTTGGGGCTGAGGACCCTTTCTTGTTGCTCCCTCTTCCCATATTCTTTGTTCTTTATATTTAAGCATGTATAGGAGGCCCAGTCTGTTTGAATCCTTTCCTGTCAGCCACAGTCTGTTTGAATTGTGCCGGCTAGGTGTTCCTGCCCACTGCAGCGGCACCAGCGAGACAGAAACCTAGGCAACCTATGCGGGGCCCACCTTCCACGTCAACCTACCAAAGGCTTCACCGCTAGGGTGCACCTCCAGGCACTGGGACCTAAGTTGAGCTAGCCTATTGGGTCTCAGCCAGTGGTGTCTCACAGGCCAGGCACTCACCACCAATCCCGCTTGAGAGGGAGATATGTGACTGAAGTCACTGTAGCTTCTCGTTCCAGGAAGTCTGCCTGGTCCGAGTGTGTCCTCTGCTGAAGCCTCCTTCTCTATGGAAGGGTCCCGATTTGCTCACTCACCGCAGGTTTATGCAGGGCACCGGGCCAGTCCTGCTGCCAACTCCTTTCAATGCTTCCAACTTTCCGAGCTTTCGCGCCTCTCTCCCCGCTATGCCGACCGGGACGCAACAGTGGCTGCAGGTAATTCAAATCGCAGTTTCCAGTGGCGTGGGTCTGGCTTCTGTGCTGAGACCTTATCTGTGCCTGCTGTATCACCAGGATTGCATTTCCAGATGGTTTCTCTTAATTTAGTTTGTTCCTGGGTCAGCAAAGGATATATCCTCCCTTGCCTGGGACTTCCTGCCTGGCACCATTCCTAGATTTCAAGTGCGGTTTCTCAGAGAGCCTCCAAGGCTGCTGCTATCTATCCGCCATGTTCTTCTGGACTCTGAACAACTATTTCTAAAGTGACAATATGTAATTTATTAACTAGTGATTTCTTAGTGCTAATATGTTTTTTAAAATTCAGTATTATTTCCACCCTTTTTTCTGTTTTGTTTTTTTCTCTAAATATAAAAAGAAAATAAATGCTCTGCCTTATAAACACCTTATTTCTGCTCAAATTGTATTATTCAACTTAATCACATTTAAATCCACAGAAAGAATTTTGACCACTTTGAAAATATCAATCTTTTGTCAAAGAATAAAATTTACCATCTTTGAGAAGATTCAAAACAGTGATTCCTAGGCTATGGACACATTCTTGAAGAATGCCATAAACCAAAGAATAAGAGCATAATAAAGTTGGGAAAGATAACTCCTTTGAAAGATATTTAATCATAATAGGTAGATTTAAAAAAAAAGCCACAGAATTTGTGTCAGT